GAGAGAGAGAGAGAGAGAGAGAGAGAGAGAGAGAGAGAGAGAGAGCACGTAAGTCTCTAACAGCAGGATCGATCTCAAGGTACTTCTATTGATCTGATGAGCAAAATCGAATGAATCTACAACTGTACTAGGAGATATACACTGCCACACTTTTTTTTTTTTTTTTTTGAAAATCCAAATCCCCCCACCAGTAGTCCACCATGCGCTCTGATGGCAGGGTGGGTCGCGTTCGATTGATTCGCGCCACGTGGCACACAGCGCATTTGAACGCGTATGAACGCGATCCAAAGTCGTTTGAATGCGGGCATTCGAACGTGAACGCGCGTTCGGCACGTTCAAACGGTCACATAACGTTCAAGTGAAGAGGCGAAACAAGCTTGGTTTTACCAAGCTCACTCGTTTGGTGGAGATATCCACCAGTATGAGACTACTTCAGTACCACGTCAGCGGTTCGGGATACGCCCTCCCATGAGAGGATGAGGTCGTCGCAGGGGGGAACGAGAGAACGGAGCCCCGTGACTCGGGAGTTCGCCCCGCAGACAAGGTCACCACTCAGCAGCTGGATAGGCATGCACAAAAATGACGGAAGGATTCACTCACCCGACAAACAGTGAGTGTGGAGAGATACTTCGAGAGGCGAGCGATTGTTTTGTTGTCACATGAGGAGGAGTCGGTGTACAATCCTGATCCCTATCCTGAGCCCGACCCTCTCGCGCAGTATGAGATTGAGGCGGAGTCATGGTCAGATCCAGATGACCTGGACGTGTAGTCGGAGCACTCTTCAGACGATGACGTTCCTTTATCACCGATGCGGCGTCAGACGCGAGAGTCGACCTCAGTTCGTCCTTATCTTTTGCCTCGCCCTCATAACATTTCTCGGTGGGGGGGGTCATGGAGAGGTGCAACGTAAGAGGGCGTCCAGTGGACATCGGCAACCCACATCCATCGACTCGGACAGCGACAACAGCGATCGAGGGTATGAGGGCAGCAGTGAGTCCGACGATGATCTCGATTTTGGCAGGGGTGGCGAGGATGCAGCACTTGGAGATGAGGACGACGACAGAGGCTGTCGTACCGCCACGGGGTTACAGGGTCAGCGACATTAAGAGAGATTGAGGGAGGCGATGGATCGCGGTACGGCGGGCCCAGACAAGGGCTGTGGAGGTCGACGACGGGGGGGACAGTCTCCTCGTTCCCCTCGCTGGGAAAGTTATGTGGGTTGGTAGGGTCGAAGGAATCTACGGTTGGCATATGGCGAACACTATGGTAATGTTAGTTGTCGAGGTGGGTTGGTAGGTAGCGAGGTTAGTAGGAGAGAACGTGAGCTGAGCCATAGCGGTGAGGCAAATGGAGGAAACGAATGAGTGAACCGGGACGGTAATCTGCGCCCAGGTGCAGTCGGAGACGGAAGGCAAAAGCGATTACCTGCCTGGCCACGCCAGTCGGGGAAGCATTCGACAGCCGTAAGCGGAAGTGATAAGACGGGCGCTAAGGCGGGCAGCCAAGCAGTCGAACGCGAGAGGGGATGAAGGAGGGTCGGGGATGAGCCAGGACGGGTTTATGCACCCGGTGTGTTCGGCAGTGGGGCGACAGGGTAGCAAAGCCAGGTGCAGCGTAAAGAGGGAGTGTGCCCGCTGGACGGTGTGACCAGGATAGGAATGAGGTGCTAAGGCTCTTTACTGCTAGTTGCCGCATGCTAGTTGCTCGTGCACGCTGGCTGCGTCGGTGTGCGCACAGGGGCTGCACCCATGCGGAGGCTGCTACAGCCGACTATGAGCGGCCGCTGCGGGCTTTGGCTGTGCTCAACTGCTGCTAGCTAACAGTGCATGGGCTGCTGCTGTGGGAAGCGGTTGGCAGGCACAGGCCGCGGCTGCGTATTGAGCTCGACTACGGCTGTTACCCGCTGTGGACTGTTGCTGCATTCTGCATGCAAACTGTTGTTGAAGGCTGGGGGCGAGCTGCAGCTGCGCCTATGTGACTAGGCTTAAATACCGTTGACCACGATGAGCCAGGATGGGTTTACGTACCCGGTGTGTTCGGCAGTGGGGCGACAGGGTAGCAAAGTCGGGTGCAGCGTAAAGAGGGAGTGTGCCCGCTGGACGGTGTGACCGGGACAGGAATGAGGTGCTAAGGCTCTTTACTGCTAGTTGCCGCATGCTAGTTGCTCGTGCACGCTGGCTGCGTCAGTGAGCGAACTGGGGCTGCACCCATGCGCAGGCTGCTACAGCCGACTGTGGGCGGCCGCTGCGGGCTTTGGCTGCGCTCAACTGCTGTTGGCTAACAGTACATGGGCTGCTGCTGTGGGAAGCGGTTGGCAGGCACAGGCCGCGGCTGCATATTGAGCTCGACTACGGTTGTTACCCGCTGTGGACTGTTGCTGCATTCTGCATGCAAACTGTTGTTGAAGGCTGGGGGCGAGCTGCAGCTGCGCCAATGTGACAAGGCTCAAATACCGTTGACCACGATGAGCAGGCGTACAATTTCGGTTAGCCGGGCGCAACTGGTGACTGCTGCGTTCCATTGAGTACTGCGGCGCCAGCCAC